TCTGCGCAGTCTGATCAGGATCCATGCTGTTTGCTTACAAACCCTATAACAAGTAAAGAAACTGATAGCGAACAGCATGGATCCTGATCAGACTGCGCGGAGGCGCAGGCTGGTCTGGATCCATGCTGGTCGCAAACGCATTACGTTGGTTTTGTCATGACAGGGCTCATTTGATGTTGTACATCAGATATAATCTTCTATCAGTAGTCACTTCAATCTATTATTTTGACACATCAAGTTTAAGGCCTATCAAAGTTTAGAGAAGGGACAAACAAGTGTATAACTTCAATGCCTTCCTGGAACCAACTCCTACTTAGCAATGAATGTAAAGTTTCTTGCCCACTGAAAAAACTTGCCCCTAAATACAGGTTTGAACCCATGCTACCAGCAATCCTTACAAGTCTTGACGTATTTACCACGCAGCCAAGCTGCCACATAAGTGTCTTGTAGAACTGAGCATCAATCTGAATCATTGGTTATGATAAATAAATTCAAAACTCAAAAGTTCAAAAGTTGACTTTTAACATTTTTTGTGTTGTTGATTTTTTGTACAGTTTTTATACTGTATTTTTTTTTTTGCTCCAGTTTAATTAAAATCAAAATTAATAAATATTTCAATATTATAAACTACTGAATAACCTTTCTTTAAATCAAAACAGCTTAGAAAAACATGACTGTATTAAGAAAGAAGAAAGATCAAGCAAGTTGTTCCAAGATTGAAGTTTGATGATATCTACAATGGGGGAAAGTTTTGGTTTCTAACCAGAAAACGGTTGTATTGTTACATATGTATACCTCCTCAGTGTAGGCCCTGTTAATATGATGGGGAATATCATTCTTACCTTTATACAACCAGACCATAGGTAACAATTTACTTTCCAAATCTATCAAAAAAATTTTTATACTTAGTGTTCACATAAAATTGCTGAATTAATGAAATCCTCCAAATTTAAAAAAAAAAAATGTCTTCTTAATTCGTGTAGGCCAAGTCAATTCTGGGTTCATTTTTTATTTACTTAGTGGAACGTAGTAACCAAATTGCCTGCTAACTTTCAATACAAATACCAAAAAGGATTATTCTCTCAACTTAATTGGGGAAGAGGCCTTACCCGAAAAAATTATCGCTAAAATTGCTAATTTGGGAAGTAAAAAAAGCTGAAGTTCAGATTTTTGGAAAAACTACATGAATTTAAAAAAAATTTCAAATGGGAGGTCTCTGTTGTGTAAGGAAGAAAATTATGAGAGATTTTATTTTTATCTGATCTTCAGAATATAATATATTGGGATAATGCCCCTTCAAACTGGCGACCAGTGGAGGTAATAATTGCTATGTGAAAAGCATCTATAGAATGATAATAGTAAAAGACACTGATTGTTCTTGAAATAAAAATGTGTAAATCTGTTATAATTATAAAGCCTGTTATTCAAAACTAACTTTTCAACACCTTAGCCTGCAAGTAATGAATATTTCTAATCAGAAAGACATACAAACTTTTGACTAGAATATAAAAATGTATTTTGCTGTTTTCACACGCTATATATAAATTCCACTTTAAGAACAATAGTTTTATCATTACTACAGATGTAAGATACCAGTTCTGGAGAATGACACTTGGGAGATTCAGGGTGACTGGCACCAGGACCTTGTCAACACGTATATACCACCGTCACTAGACTATGATTATAATAGGTGTAACGTGTATAAAAACGGTCTAAATACAAGCCAAGTTAAATGTACAGAATGGGTGTACAGTAAAGAAGTGTTTGAAGAATCATTCACATCAGAGGTAGTATAAAATAATGTTGATTTCTTCAACTTCTGAAGACAGACAACCAAATTTCAAAAAAAAAATTAAAAATAATTTCATTCTATGTATAATATTAATGTTATTTATTATGTAAAATTTTGAAACAGACTATCTGAAACAATGTAGAGTTTATGGAAATCTAACACAATGAAAGATATATTATAACTAATACTACAACTTGAACTTTAAACATCATTTTTCAAAGTCATTCTGCAGAAAAGCCTTGCAATGAGACACAAAGAAAAGCCCGATCTGTAATTCTTTCAATCAAGGTTGAAATCAAGGTGTAAGGGGTCAGTATTTCTCATCTTAAAGCATAGTTAATCACAAATGATATCAAATCTGTGTTATATTTGTATTGCAGCAAAATTTTGTATGTGATGATGCTTTGAAAACATCTCATCTACAGTTAGTGTATTACTTTGGTGTGCTAGTTGGTGACCTTGGATTCGGACTACTTTCTGATGTGTAAGCATACAGTTTCAAAATACTGAAAATATTCCCACTTAAAACTCTTAAGATTTTTGTCAACTTCTGCAGATGTTTCAAAATTCCAAATTTTACCAGTTCATATAAAATGTTGAATTCTACTTAAGCCGGTTCTAGGGGGCATGGATGGTGACTTGCACTTTCCATTACCGTCCATGAATGGGCTCAATCAAACCGAGCCTGCAACATTTACAATATTGTCGTTTTGGACTTTCTTTAAGGATTCTTTATTTCTCTCTTTTTTACTTTATATCATTGCTAGGGAACAACCATATTTTCTTACAGGGCACCAGTACCACATTGTCAACGTTAGTCAAGAGAGCAGAGGGTGATGTGAATGTGCATACAACTGTTGTCACAATCAAAGCTCAACTAAACTTTTGATTTTTTTTTCCATTACAGGATAGGCAGAAAAAAGTCATTCTATCTTGCATGTATTCTACAAGTGGCAAGTGCTATGGGTGTAGCCTGGGCACCAAATTTCTGGGTGTATCTGGTATTAGAGTTTCTGGTTGGTGCAGCCTGTCATGGGGTCTTCATGAGTAGCTGTGTTCTTGGTAAACCTTTTAAACTTAAAACTATATTCTTTAAATCTTTCTCTTTTTTCCCCATTCCATTGTGAAACTTACTATTATGTAGATCGACAATTTCTATTAATTGAAATCATTGATAATGTAAGAAAACTATACCTTAACCAAAAGACCAAGTGTAAAGTAAGTACCAATCTGATTGAATTCAGCTCCTAAATAACCCTATGCTTCAAGGATCTGATAGTCACCAGTTTGAGGTCACCTTGTGACAAATACTAAGCTGATATAGAAAGAAGTCAGTGTAAAAATATGGTGAAATACTGCCAAGGTAAAACATAAAACTAAACCATCAACTATACATATATTCTGTTAATCACCATTATAGGACTGGAAGTAGTAGGGCCAACAAAACGTGTATGGGCTGGTGTTGTGATTCATGGATTCTTCACTATTGGGCTGTGTTACCTCTCTGGTGTAGCCTGGCTGCTCAAACATTGGTCCTACATCCAGATAGCTGTAGCTGCACCTTGTGCCTTATACCTCTCATATTGGTGGTAGGTTTATACTTCATTTCTTACATCTGAATTTCTTCTACTTGTTATGTTTACAAACACAGACCTAGTAGCTTTATACTATAGTTGGTAATAACTTATTTTAGTTTGATTGTGTTGGAAGCTATAAGCTTATTGAAACACTCTCGAATACATTTCTGAAACCAACCAGTACTACACAAGTATTAGTGTAAAGTTTCTTGTTTAAGGAAACAATGGATTGCCCCCGACAAGGTTTGAACCCATGCTGCCAGCAATCCTTTGATTACTAATTCGACATGTTAACCAATTGGCCCAAAGCCACTCAGTGTAATACTATAATATATACCCAATATCTAAACTTTTCCAACTTCACTATAGCATGTAAATTTGAGTCTTATGATAATAAAGCCATCATGACTGTGAGTCTGTTAGTAAAATATACAAAATAATTACTCTACGATACAAAAAATCAAAGGTCATTAAGTTAACATTCCAAAACAACTAAACAAGGTACAGTAAGTCACAATAATTCTGAAAAATTAAGAGAGAAGTGAAGTTTTCATGACAGTATGATGAAGAAAATTTTGTATTGGAAGCTAATAATTCCATCTCATATTTCTTAGGTTGATTCCTGAATCTCCAAGATGGCTGATAAGTATGGGAAAATATGATGAGGCAGAGAAAATCATCAGACGTATGGCCAAAGCTAACAAAGCTAAAGTACCGGACAAAATGTTCACAGCTGATACAGTGGAGAAAAAGAAAGGGGGAAAACTCTGGGAACTCTTCACTAATAAAGTCCTTTTAATAAGGACTTTGATTATTTTCTTTAATTGGTGAGTAGTACAAAGAAAAAGCAAGGTCTAAATAAACCATTTTTGCCACCATTTGGCAATATATATCAAATGTTAAATCAAAATCTTTGAAATCCAATTAAATATATGAATAATCAACCAATGCTAAATAAAATTCAGATAAAGGGACATACTGATTGGGTTTTACATTGCACCAAACCAGTATTGGTCAAAATCAGACTTTCCAGCTTTACTGGTGGTGGTAGACCTCAGGCACAGATGGGCACCTGAGGAGAACCACCAATGTTCTGTAACCTAGCTGGATAGCTTTTTGACATAAAAAAATCACAAAATGCTTGCATGGCTTAAACCTACAGTGGTGACAGGCAAATGGTTTGATGACAACAATCTTAACCACTCACCCACAGACGACCCAACATAAATTGCTTTCAAACTAATAACATTTCTGTTAAATACTATAGAAAAGAATGAACTTAAAAACGTTAACATCAACTAATGAATCATATTTTGTAACACAAAATTTCCTATTTTCTTTCTCTTTTAATTAAACAGGATAATTGTAAGCATGTGTTACTATGGTGTTACAATGTACGCTGGAACAATCGGAGGAAATTTCTATCTCAATTTCTTTCTACTGGCAATCGTCGAGTTTCCATCATTTATCAACATACCAATGTTAGATTGTATAGGTCGTAAATGGACCCACATTTTCTTTATGTGGATTGGAGGATTTGCCTGCATAGGAACTATATTTACTGTAGTGTATGGAGGAGAAGGTGAGTGAATTTCTTCTTACAGATAATAATTCAAACAAATAGTCCTTCAAAATAACCCATAAAATTCTGTATTTTTTCAATGGACTTGTCCAGATCCCATTTTTTTAACTTTCCATTATCATTTTTAGGGATAGGAAAATCATAGTTTGAAGTTTGTTAGCCAAAAGTATAGAACCCGGTTCCTGCAGATTAAAATTTAGCAAGGAACTGCTACTACCAACCATTGTGACATTATAAAATTCTTATAACATGAAACTTAACATAAACCTGTATCCCAGTATCACAGTGGGTATTATCTGGAGTTTGCTCTGTTGTATCACTGTTCCGAACTGCTTCCATCCGAATGTTCCTTTAAAATTTTTCATTCCAGAGCATGACTAATATCTTTATGCCAGTCACGACAAATAATTGTTGTTTAAAAGATTTACTAAATATTTGCCATTTTAAAGCAAGATTGAAATACAGTATATGTCATTTTCAAAAAAACTAAAATTGACAAAAAATGGAAAAGCATTATCATGCTTGAGTAAAACTTTTATCTGCTCTTACATGGGTGCAAGTTAAGTTGCCATAAAACACTGAATTCATATTATTTTAATATTGGTTTTTTCTAAAGAAAAAGAATGTTGTCAGGAGTATAAAAAGCCTGAACTTAAGTTTTTAATCTGGTTCGACTAAATACAAAAAAAAAATTGTATAGTACACTGTGAATATTTTTTTATTCTATCCTAGAATATCATACTGCCACCCTGGTTCTATCACTGATTGGCAAGCTGGGACCTACTGGAGCATTTGCTGTGATATATGTATTCTCATTGGAACTATATCCAACTCTACTCAGGAATGCTGGTATGGGGGCAAGCTCATGTGTGGCAAGGTTTGGAGGAATGGTTGCACCTTACGTTGCTAAAATGGTATGCATTTGTTGACAAAGTTTTTGATGCCAGATTAGTTCATTTCTCACTACTCTTTTAACACTATACAGTAAACTCTACATATAACTTAACACTTATAATGATATACTGCTGATAACGATGCTGTTCCCGTGGTCCTAACTCTTGTTTTCATATTGGTTGCCTGTCGGATATAACGCTATCCGCATATAACAATATAAATTCAGCGGTCCCTTGAATATTGTTATAAGTGGAGTTTACTGTATAACATAGTATTAAAAACATTTGTGCAGAAAGAATAACTACGTGTATACTAAATGTACATTTACAAATTTGTATCACTCACATTTATTTTGGGTTACAGGGTGAATTGATTGGAGGAGATTTTGGTAAAGCATTGCCGCTGGCTATATTTGGTATCACATCTGTTATAGCCGGCTTACTTTGTCTGTTTTTACCGGAGACACTAAACCAGAAATTACCAGATACTGTTGAAGAGGCAGCCAAATTTAAAGGGTAAGATAATCATAAATATCATTGCTTTAACAGTTCTTTCCCTTTCCTATCACACTAATTAAAGCAGTTATTACCCTTATAAAAACTAATTATCTTCAATAGTGTTGCCTATTCTTCAATGTGAATTAAAACCATTCATCATTTTTAGGGAAAATTTTTAAAAGACATGTATTTATACTGACTGGAAAGGAAACAGTGTAGACCATGATTAAATGAGCCGTGTCACGACAAAACCAACATAGTGGGTTTGCGACCAGCATGGATCCAGACCAGCCTGCGCATCCGCGCTGTCTGATCAGGATCCATGCTGTTCGCTTTCAGTTTTTCGACTTGTAATAGAGTTGGTAAGCGAACAGCATGGATCCTGATCAGACTGCGCGGATGCGCAGGCTGGTCTGGATCCATGCTGGTCGCAAACCCACTATGTTGGTTTTGTCGTGACGTGGCTCAAATGGCTTGAATGTAACAACATTGGAAACATGGGCAGAATATGTTGTCACTAGTAAGCTAAGAATTAAACGCTTAAAACATTTCATATCCCAAATTCATTTCTGGTATAAACTTCTGTCATTTATTAACTGCTTTAAAACACTTGTCGTAAATAATTATCAGATAATTATAAAATTGATGGTAAAAGAAAGCACAAATTTGAAAAATGCATATAACCCACAAAAATATCAGGAAAATCTTAATAAGGAAATGTATATCATTAAACAATGATTTAATTAGTTCAGTATTACATATTTCCAAATATTTTATGCACAATCTGGCTAACAAATATAGGATATAGAGGATATATTGCCACAATGTTTTATCTGATGTGCTGTAGGATAGACACATAGAATATTTTGTTCTAAAAATATTAACATACACTTACTATGCTTGTAACTTATGCAAATATTATCATAAAAACAGAAGCTATTTTTAAATACTGCAGACTCCATTTGATTATGCTGTAAATTCCATTCATAACTCTACTTTATAAAACATGTATATATAAATTCACTAACACTTCTGATTTCTTCCTTCATTTTCTCTTGAAAAGTGCTATAAATATCTCGAAAATTACTTATAAATGAAAATCTATTTCAGGCATCAAAGAAGAAAAGAAAGAGAGGTGTATATTCCAGAATCAAATGAAGAACCAACCCAGACAAAGTTTTAACAAATTATCCACACAAGCCATACAGTCATATCGTGACATACATATCTATTTATATTAAACTATATTTGGAACTAAACATATTCTGATATTTTTTCTCTTTTTGAAAATGAAAGAGGTATACAAACAAGTTCAGCTTCCAGCAAAACTTCATTCAGATGTTTTTATACTAGTGAACAATTACAGAAATAATAAAAGTATGGTTTATGAAATACTTTATCAATAAAAGAAGTGGACCTTAAGCAAGGTAGAAGTGAAATTTTTTCAAGCCATAAAAAGAGTCTGCCTTTTATTTATGCAAGGTTGGGAGGAAATTGTCAAGCTAAATTTGTCTATAATTTATTCAAGACTAAAGCAAAAATTTCAAGCTAAATTTTACCTAGCATAAATTATGCAAGGTTAGACAAAATCTTTTTAAATCAAACTTGGCTTATAAAATACCTGTAACCCAATGTCTAGGAATTGAGAATTCTTGCATTAACATAACACAAGAAATGTACATACCTTTCAGCATAAACATGAATGATAGGTAGATGAACAGGTTGTTAATCACTGCTGTAGATTTACCCAGGCATACTGCTATACTGTATGGGTTCAAGAAGTGACTGAAAAATAATTCATTCACATCTCTTAATATTTAAAATTGGCAAGATGAATATTAACACTATCCTCATTAATACCTCCTTTTATCTATTTTTACAACTAGAGTGACATAACTTATCTGAAGATGAAACCTGTTTATTTAAATATTATGGCCATTACGGTTCAAATGGTAAAGAAGCAGTAAGAAAGTATAGATACATATCTTAAAACATGCAACAAGAGCAGTCGTAAGACTCTGTATTCGACTATTCTCAGTGCTTGATAGTAAAACATGAGCCTTGACAATGTAGAATTATCTAAGTTCAAAAAAGGCCATATTACTGTCAAAATCCATGTTAGAGTTATTGGCCTGTGACCGTGACCTCCTATTATGCTTTCAAATAAGTTTCAATCAATTCCCTTAAATAGTTTCAGGGAAACCAACTTGCACTCAAAACTTAAGAAGCTACCAACTTGCAAGCAAAATCTTAGGCAAAGTGTGACCGCTATATATCAACATCTTGGTAAGCACATTAGCTCTCCCTATTCTAAGAATAGTCAAGATAAAAACTGATGATTAATCTTACGCTGCTAATAATGACATCTGCATCATGTCAACATCATCTTTTTTTATTATTATCTTCTCCACACCTACAGCATATTTCTTTACCTCTGACAACTGTTTCTGCAGCTGAAAGTCAGAACAAAATTTCCTTTATATATGTACATCTATATGCTGTGAAATACACAAAGTTAATTTAACATGATCCATCCTACATGAACTGAGGATGATTCTGGGGAAACACTCCACCTATACCTTTAAGAAACAAAATAAAGTGTTTCCTCACATGAAAGAATTTGATGCAGCTGATTTGATGTCTTTCAAGAAATTCAATACACAGGATAATAAACTGGTAAGAACAACAAGCAAATAATTCTCAGTCAGCAATTAAAAACACTCAGAAAAACTAAGCATGTCTCAAAGTCCTACATACTCAACATGTAACATAAATTATAAATCTTCACACTTATCAACTCAAAAGTACAAATAAGAGAGAGTTTCACTTATCAAATCACTCATGTTGATTCTTAATCATAAATGTATATATTTTTTGTTTAAGTGTGTGTGTGGGGGGTTATGTCAAACCAACACAATATAGGTCATAATTATGGCGACTTTCCAGTTTTACTGGTGGAGGAAGACCTCAGGTGCCGTCCATGCATTACTCCAGGCTTGAACGGGCACATGAGTAGATCCATGGATGTTCCATAAGCTAGCTGGATAGCTACCTCACATGAAAGAAACCAAAGTCCCTGTCAGGATTTGAACCCACAGCAGTGAGTGGTAAGGTTTGAAGTCAACAACCTTAACCACTCAGTCATACTGACAGACACCCCTCTACATGTATAATTGATGCTACTAAGAAAGCATCCTTAAACAAATGATAAAACTTGTAAAGAAACTAACCAGGTATCTACTAAAATGTTTTCCAATACTTGCGATAACAAGGCCACTGAGTATATCCAGAAACTGAAATGAGAATGAATGACAATTTTAAAGTCAAAATTCCATACAGCCATATGACATTTGCCACTTACCTGTAAGTAAACACATAATAAAAGAAACAAACATTATACTGGTCCTACTAAATAAACATAGACAAAAAATTTTACATCAGACTTTTAATGAATGACCAGATGTTTTTCCTTTCCTTAAATTTTTACTCCCTTTGTTTAATTACAACTCCAAATGTCATTATTGAGCATTTAAAAGCTTTTTTTTTTTGTTTGAAATTTAGAAAATAAGTAGGAACCAAGGTAGAATTATTGACTTTCAGTGAGTTATCTAAATATCTTTCTCATATCATAAGAATTAAACATTACAAAGACAGCTATGCCAGGAGAGTGATCCTGCCACTCAGTGAGATTCAGGATATATACATGTAGATGGTCTATATGATGTAAAAGCATAAAGAAGCTTGCAAAAATATGTACAACTCACTGCAGTTTCTGAGCCTACTGGGAAATTTGCATTTCATGAAAATAAACAGCAATGCTTTACCCTTAGCACCTAGTCCCTAAATATCTAAAATAGACTTGTCCACCTTTCAATCTAGATAATACCATCAATCAGTTTTAGGGGAAATTTCTTAATATGCATCGACTGAAAAACAGCTCACAGTGTAGACCATGATCAGATAGCATAAAAATGTTACAATATGTAATTTTCTAAACTTACCACAAAGAAGTAATGTATCTTATTAGGCATCAACTTGGTGACAAAACTGAACACATTCAACATAATTGGGGTCTGTAATATAATATTTAAAATTTACTCAGATTTTAGTGATATTATCAAACTATACAATTTAGATTTTCTTTCCTTTCAATGCAGTGAATCAAGAAGATATTGAGTAAATGACACTTTAAGTTTACATTAACATTTAAAACAAGTCAAGCTACAAGGTATGTTACTTATGTCATGTGATTTAACAAAAAGACATTCAACAAAGAGTCACAATAATTTTTTTATATAAAATAACTTAGAAGAGAAAAAGGTAATTCATACCTCATGAAAAAGGTCTCCATTGTAAGGGGAAATGTTGTTATCAGCTAAAGCAATTCCATCCAATGCTGCAAGGTAAATAATGGTCTACTGTTAATATTTAAGTAAGATCTCTAACGGTAATATTTTAATATTTTCTTCCTATCAAAATTTGAAGAAAAATTTACTATTTCATAATTGGCAACCAGTTCAATGAATGTAAATAAAAGGTGGTAAATTGACAACTTATAAAAAATGAGTACTTACAAAGTAAAGTATTATAAGACATTTTTTGTACTAAATTTGTATTTTGCTTTGGATTATGATGGAAATTGTATAGAGGATGTAATTGTAACTTGCTCAACAAACTATAACATTTGCATAACTATCTCATCTCATATACAGGAAAGTCAAAGGCCAGCTTGGACTTTGGGTTGCCTGGCTATAGACTACACATGTATATTTAAAAGGAAATCAATGAAAAAACAATAAAAAATATATAGAATTCTATATCTATCAGTGTAATTTTCAGTATCATTTCTAGTTTGGTGCCACCATTTGATAATGATAAACACTGTCATATTCATATAACAGAACAATCGCAAATAGGGGCTTAAAAGTAATCGCCAAGATGTTCTGAGAGAAAATGGAAGCAGTGGGTGAAATTATCAATACACCCATTGACAGTCTCTATATGAACTACGTAAATAACCAAGGTATATCGAGTGAAAAAACACGAGTTGTGTCCCTTATCTTCGAGTAAAATCGATATCTCTAATGCTAAAACAATGCAAATTTAGCCGTTTTTAAACCGCTTGTTTGGGGCAATTTAATGTCCGAATTTAAAATGTATTACACCAATGAAAAGCTTGTGATCTTAGCTTCGTCTCAGTATATATTTCAACGCATTGTTTGACACTGAAGGTATTTAAATTTTAGGTTAAACCTACCACATGTCAGACCATTTTACATACGTTTTATACGGTGAGATGCGCAATCGGTTATCTTTACTCGCAATTCTACTGATAAGAATAGCCTGTCGTCTGCTAGTTCGGAAACTGTCAATCATGTATTCAGAAATGACACTTTTAAAACAAAACAATTTAATATAAAAATGAACTATAATTTAAAACCTGAATTCCGACTTTCCCGTTTGCGTACTATCATACTAGGGGCAGGGCCGGCAAAATCTCAGAAAATTGTACTTGTCCGTACTCAATGTTCACTTGTCCGTATTTATATTTAATATTTACTGCAAATGTCAATAAAGAAGAGCAATATGATTATGAACTTTTTTTCAATTTTATTAAACATTCTGTGCCATATGTTTAATGATACAATATATTATGATTATAATATAATTTATATTTATAAAATGTTAACGGCAGTAGATTAAAGTAGAACGGCAGTGATGGACAAATTGTGTATATTTTACTGGAAGGAGAATTGGTTATTTGCCAGCACTTTTACAGTTTTCCTTGTGTCACTTGCACCCAAATTGCTCTAAAAATATGTCTTTATTTTTTGCACTCTGGTACCATTTCTTATTTATTCACTCCTTATTCTATTCATCTATATAATATTCATTTGAATCCTGTTAAAAAAATCATATGTACTCTTGAGTTAGATTTGTCAAATTGATGACATCTGGCTTTTTTAATAATATAATTATGATTGTCTCAGAATGTAATATCATATACGTATATACACTTGGTTGCAGCAGATGAATTGTGAAAATTTTGACATCATTATCATCGGCGACGATGAAATTGACATGTATACATTAACACCAGTATTAGACATTCAAAAACAAAGGCATTTTCACTAGAAATCTTTACATAAAATAAATCATAAAATGACTTTGTCCACATAAATCTAAGCAGTCAAATTGCCGATGTGATTCAACTTATTTTGTGTAAATATTCCCGAATGACCTGGAAAAGTTATACTACGTATTTAATTTTCATACAACACAGCGGTATTTCAAAGACAATTGTTGCGAGATTGATGCTGTGTCTGCTATCTAAACAATAAATGCGCTTGAAAAGACCACAGCTTCCAAGTCAATTTATGGCAGAATCCCCGTTGCTACCGGAAATATTTTATTGCAGAGGCTAAGTCGGCAGTCATAAACCAAAACAAACATGTACCCCACATTGTGACATGACCTTGATACGTTCAATAATTAGTTAATTGCCGCGCGCATGCAGTAACTACATGACGTAAGGAAAACCCCAAGCCTGGTTGGTAGCTATTTATGTAAACACTTTAAATAGTAACACCCTAATATGCACGGAATGCCCTCACAAATGACACCACACTTCACATGCTAGTTTTCGTATTAAATGTGTGATTTTCCTTCTGATTTAGATCTATTAGAAAAGAACTAGATTTTTTCTTCAGAATTCCTCTTTTAGCCGCCAAAATTTACATGTCCACGGACAAGTAAACTGCAGAATTTTACTTGCCCGGACCTACAATTGTACGACTCGGGCAACTCGGACAATTGATTTTGCCGGCCCTGAGGGGAAGTCAAAGTTCCAGCCTGCACAGCAAGTCCGGGTTTTGACTTGCCTGGCTAAAGATAATATGTGTACATTTAAAAGAAACCAAATTCAAATAAAAGAATTTAAAAAAACAATCTATTCTGGAATCCAACCATCTACCACATCACAAAAAATAACAACTAAAACTGATGAAACTGTTCATGTATCAAGCAAATCTTACAAATTAAGAACAAGCTGAGGGTCAACCAGGTGTAATATTAATGGTTGAAAGTATAAGTTCTTAGGGCCAAATTTTATACTATAAGTCTCTGGGTGATAAGGCCATATCGGCCGTATCCGGCCTTAAAATTGATTTTTTTCATGTTCGCGAAAACAGGTGACAATTGTAAATTAAATTGGTCCCTCACTTTTTTGCCATGATGTCAATGCATTGCTAATTTCTACACGGTCTGAAAACCATTGTGGAATGCCTGTTCTAAATAGTGACAATCTCAAAATCACTCCTATCGCCAGACAAACACCGAGGCCGACGCTAGAAGCCATATTCTTCAAAATTAAACCAAATAGCGAAATGATAAAAAAAATGCGGAAAAAGATGTTGTGCCAAAATCTGTTTCATCACAAGTCAGAAAGTCCGACCAATAAAAATATGTTCACTCTATAAAAGTGATCCAAAGATACATAGAAGAAATCTTAAATATCAATCAACCAGTGTATCGCTACACAACCAAACACCAAGAAATTATGCTCCCTCCTCAAACATTAAAAAAGGCCCCCGTCAAAGGAAGTGGATGGGTATTTTTTAATAAAAAAGTTTTCTATGTTTATTGATAATGTACATGTAGAGTTGTTTCTTAGACCAGAATTCAGTGAAATGATATTATACTTGATAACATTTCACTTTTTGTTGATGACAAGGTTATTTGATGAGATGAATAGAAGTTTCAATCTCTTTTTTTGTTTATATTGTGAAAAATGGCATCTGAATGTTAATATTGATTTAACTAAATATAAAATTGTAGGGATGTTGCCTAATGAATATGTTTGTATCATGGAGAAAACATGCGGATATTGTCAATCAAAATAAATTGAAAGAGTTCACCTGATACTGTTTGTCAAATAATGCTTAATGTTACATAAATTCTAAAATATAAGTTATGCAGAATTTTATGGCTAAACATGTAGCTTAATTATTTGTTATCCCTCATCTACTACAAGATATTTTGAGATCGTAAATTGTTTTTAGCTAAAATTGTTGCAAAAAGAAAAGTCATTCCTAAAGAATATTTAATATATATGTATGTATAATTTATAGTGACATCATATCGTTTTTATACATGTGGCAGAATCATTTGTGTTATATGTATTTTTTCAGTATTTAAGCAACGTGTAATAATGATTCTTTTGTACAGGGTCTTTCAAATAGATTCTATTTGAAAGACCCTGTTTTGTAGTACAAAGCTGACATGCATACATTGACTGTTTTTGTTATTATACAAGGATATAAAGAGTGTGTTTGAGTAGGAAAAATATCTTGATATATTACTTAATAGCCTTAAACATTATATAAGTAGAATAAGAATATCAGCCACATTCATCATTTATTCAGTCTGGTCGTTATGGTTCAAATTGGATACCAGCTAGAAAATGAATGCTTATGTATGTATTGTAGTTTTAAAAGTATTAAAGATGAATATCGTTTTGCTTTGCTATGCTCCTGCTACAATTAATGTTAAAATTAATATTTTAAGAAGAAAAAACAAACAAAAACAAAACAAGAATTTTTACCATTTTTTATAATCTAGCTTGAACAATTCCAAGAATTACTTGATAGTGGCAATAAGATTATTTCATGCAATCTAGTGTTTTGCATTCGGGAAGCAATTAGTATATCTGTTACACGTTGTTGAAATCATTGATAACTTATGTGTAATTTAACGTAAGAAAATGTCATGATTGCATAATTTGTAAACCAAAATATCAACATTGATTTTATAGTTAATTATTTTAAAGTTAAAGAACTAATGATGACATCTTGCTTTGTTAACATTAGTAATCTCTCATGGCTACGAACCACAGAGGTGACATAGAGAAAATATCTTTTATGAAACAGTGGCATTTTTTTTTATATTTTCTCTGTCATCTACTGTACAGTAAATGATTGGGAAAAATCTCACGGTAATTTTGAAAAAAAAAATCACACAAAAAATTCACCCGCTCACACTCATTTCATTTCTTTCTACATAATTGCTTGCAAAACTTATATTTAGATAAAGAGCAATATTTTTTTACCAGTAAACGCTGTATCCCCATGTTAAGTACTATGTTGTGCTATAGGCGAGTCCTTTTCGTTAAAAGAGACTTTTCGCTATTTAGAAATTTATAAAACTTTGTTTACATTTTCCTAAGCAAAAATTAGTTTTGATTAAATTTGTTTGCTTGATCTAAACTGCCAAAGATTTTCTTAGAAATGGAATGAAAAAGGAGAAAAGTAATTATTACAATTTTAACACTTTATAACATAAATGTTATGACTTTTTGTAAATTATAATTTGTGCCAAATTTGTGGTGCAGTGCAAAAAAAAAAAAAAAAAAAAAAAAAAAAAACTAGATTTGTGTTTTTTGTCCTAATAGTGCTATGATAGGTGTGAGTAAAATTGATTTATGAGCTTAATTGGTTTAAAATCGGGAAAAAGTTATTGAAAGGTTACTAGGAAAATGTTAAATGAAAATGGCGTCTCATTAAGTAAGGGGGTAACTCAGTGAATATGAATAGATACAAATGTTGTAATCTTCATTGGCCTTTTTATTTAAGTTTGTAATTTTAAGTGATTTATCCTGGATAATAATTGTATTGGGAACAAATGTTCTTTAGCCGACCCTAAAAGATAAACAATATAATTATATAATCACACTTGCTTTAATATTGTGTGTTGCTTTTTCATGTTTATCTTGAAAACTTCAACAAAATTCAGAATAACACCAGGTATATATATGTCACAGGGTGAGAAAAATGTGCAGCCTGACCGGGACTCGAACCCGGGACCCTCGGAATACCGTACCGCGGCTCTACCGACTGAGCTATCCGGCCGCTTACACATCTTCTCCCCTAAATATAGTCCAACTAATTGTACTGCGCGACGAGATATTGTGCTATTTTCGTGTCTGGGCAATATCTCGCCTAAAGCGAGATTCTGCCCCAGAACGAAAATATCTCAGAATCAAGCTTTGGCACGTCAATATATTTTGACTACTTCTCCCCTAAATAGTGAACAGTTCTGAACCGTGACATATATTAACATGGAAGAGTCATGTACGGCTAGCCAGGACACGCTGGTTTGTCTAGCCGTATTTTTCGAAAAATTCATATGTTATTTTATGTCTTTAAACATGTTAAACAGGTATTTTAACCAAGAAGTTCTTAATTGGCAAGATGTGACCCACATTTTTCCACGTATGATCTCAGACACTTGTTTAGAAGCGAATATAAGGCATTTATAATGACATTACTCCAGTATATACTATAAATATTTATAGTATATACTGGAGTAATGTCATTATATTTATAGTATATACTGGAGTAATGTCATTATGAATGCCTTATATTCGCTTCTAAACAAGTGTCTGTGATTAAATCATTTAATTGTTAATAAAGCTCATGGAATAAATAATCATA